TTATCCTAAACAAACTCATATCTCTCTTAATTCTCAGGCACATACATGGGAAGAAGGGTCATGCAGGATGAAATCTTATGCTCTCAGAACTTCGTAAAAGGTTTTGAATCATCAATAACAACTCTGCAGAACATAAAATATAATTAGTTGCATTATGTGCAGAAGAAGTAGAACCAACATACAACAACAAAAGATGGCTGATTTGCCACAAGAAAGATTAGTTAAAAAAATTAAATTAAAAATTAAAAAAGGAAGGACTACAATGAAACGTTATGGAGTATTATTTACTTGTATGACTAGCAGAGCTGTTCATATTGAAGTTGCTCATTCACTGGATTCTGACTCTTGCATCCAAGCCATTAGACATTTTATTTGTAGAAGAGGCCAAGTATAGCACATAAGGTCTGACACTCGCACAAATATTGTGGGTGCAAAAAAGGAACTAAGGGAAGCCATTGCAGCCCTCAACCAAAGTTACATTCAAAAGACCTTGTGTCATCATGGAATTGGATGTTTCAAGCGCCCTGGAGCATCGCATCATAGGGGTATATGGGAACGCTTCATCAGGTCTACAAGACAAATACTTTCTGTGCTAAAACAGCAAACTCTGACTGAAGAAGGACTGCACACTGTATTATGTGAAGTAGAGGCTATTTTAAACAGTCAACCCAATATCTACAGTGTCTAATGATCCTCTAGATTGGAAGCCTCTCACTTGGAGACAATTCCAGTATTTGGCAGACATATTTTGGAAACGACGGATTCATGAATTTTTGCAAGAAAGACAAAAATGGAACAAGACAAGAAGGAACTTTGCAGTTGGTAATGTTGTATTGGTAGTACATTCAACTGCCCCACGTGGATCTTGGATACTTGGAAGAATTGAAAAGGTCATGCCTGACAAATATGGTAAGAGTTGTCAAAGTAAGAACCCAAACTAACATCCTAGAAAGACCCATAACCAAGTTATGTCTGCTATTAGAGGGTTGATGTCAACTTTTCTCTTCTAAGAACAACTGCAGATAAGTATTAATTTATTTTAGGTAAATTGTTATTTAATTATTTATATTTAAACACATTGTAAATATGACATGGCTCCATTGATAACTTTATTAAATTGTTTTTAAAATAGTTCAAATACAATTAGGGGTCGGTTTTGTAGGAGACATTTGTTTATTTTATTTAAAGGTTTGTGTTGTTAATCTTGATTACTTTTATTTTGGAGATTTGCACCCGTTGCAGTTTGATGGCCAAAGTCGTTTGGTTTTGTTTATTTCATATCAGTTTTTTTTTTTTTTTTTTTTTTTTTTTGTTGTTCAACTAACTCAATGAATGCCACAAATGAAGACTTATTGTTCCATGTATTTTTTTTCTAAGGAACCCCTCAGCAGACCCAAGATGTGGCTAACTTGAAGTTTCAATTAAGGATAGTCACAACACACATAACTTGAAAATAAAGTGCAATTTAAAGATTTAACTAGGTTAATTGGGCAAGTTAGGGTAATTAGGCACGTCATTGTAAAACAGTGGTTTGGTCTGTAGACAGAAAATATTGCTTAAGAGAACTAAAAATATTTACCTTAAATGTTTATATATATATATATATATATATATATATATATATATATATATATATATATAAAATCTGCTTTTATTCTAGTCAAAATAAATAAATAAACAAGACTTTACCCAGAAGAAAATATATTATAGGAAATACTGTGAAATATTCCTTTTTCTGTTAAACACCCTAAAAACGGCTAAAAACTTTGACTTCAAATCACAATGAATGCCATGTAGAGTGTGAAACAGGCGTAATCCAAAGGGAACCAAAACTTTTTATTTGTCAAAAGCACAGAGTGACAGTGAATGAGGACCCACCTGGTGCTGCATCAGAGTTGAGTCGAGTGCAGGTGAGCTTCAGTATCTGGACTGCAGGTGCTCTAGAAGCTCAGCAGAAGCAGGGTTTCCCAAAGTACTGCTTTCCACTTCCTGTCTAAGGAACTTCTTCCTGTTGAGGGAAAAGTGATACGTTACAATCTAAAGTCACTTAAAAAGGTAGCTAGATGTGTTACTTAGTTACTATTTAAGGAAAGTAATGTGAAAGTATGTGTTATTTATTTATTTATTTATTTATTTATTTATTTATTTATTTATTTATTTATTTATTTATTTAGAGTATGGGCTTATTTAGACCTCTGCATATTTGCAGTTACTAATCATCTAAACTTATTTTCTTTCATTAATGGGCTTAATTCAGTCTACTTTTACTTTCCTTAATTTAATCAAAAGTGTAAATACTTCACCAGTCATCATTACTGATCTGTGCACGCCAGCTACTAGGAGAGAATGGGAGAAAAAAAAAGAAAAAGTGTTTTCTACAGGGGTGAGTAATGCAGCTTAATTTCACCAAGCCAAGATATGTTTCTAATTATGCATTTAAATACAATTTTAAAATAATAAATCGACTTTAAATAAACAACGACTCAAGCTAACTATTGGCCATTGTATGGATCGCTGTTACTGCAGCAGTTACCAATAATTGAATTGCCAATCAGTTTACGACAGCCTGTAATAAAGCAAATACACACCTAGTTTATGTTATCATATTTCCATTGTGTGTTTTTGTTGCTATTGTTTCTAGCTTAATAAAGAAAAATACATTTTATATCAGAATCAGTTTAAAATCCTTATATTTATATATTTTTTGTTGAATGAGAAAGTCATTTTTCTATTGGCCTCGTGGCAAAAGTGAATAATTTCAGATTCTCTGCACATTTTTGCGATTTATTTATTTAAAAATGGGGACTGGGTACTCAAAAATGTCACTCGCTAAATCAATAACTAAATCATTAGAAATCATAAATATAAGAAACTAGTTATTATAAGAGTAGGTATATATAAGAGTTTAAGAGTAGGCATTAAAGCCCAAACAAGGTCCACTCACCAAGGTCCACTTATTTTAAAATTTCTGGATCTATATACATTATTTTGTATGTTTTGTCAACTTGCAGAACTCACTGCATGCCGACACGGCCCTCGCCCCTCGCATAAAAGACTGTATCGCCGTTTTTTTTTCCCAGCGTGCATGACAGTTCACAACCGGTATTTTCACCTGGAGCACAGCAGCGCGTCAGCATCACCTCAAGAAGGAGCGGTGCGTGAGGCGCGCGGGTGTTTTCTTTCGCACATGCTCAGTTTGCTTTTTGTTTTAACTACATCAGCGTTGGTTCGGTTGCACATATAGAACAACGTCTGTACTCTGGGATTACCTCTCTCAATAAATACACTTGCATAGAAAGTAAATCGTAACCTATCTCAAAGCATTTACTGGCGATTAGCCTATTAGGGCAAGTGCCCCTGGAAATGGGGTCTAGCCCCTGGTATTTACTATACTGCTACTTTTTCATGTGGGATGTTTAAAAACGTAGTAGCTATATACTGTAATGTAGTAAATATGTGTTATTTTTAACACATTTTTTAACATACTGGAGTCTACCAATTTGTTTCATGTTATAGGCTACTATTTTGGTGAACATGTTTAACTTTTGGTTTTAAGCCTAGTACATCAGGACTGTAATTTGTTATGTGCTATTCGACATTTTGAACACCAGATGGCCGCAGAAGATAGTAAAAATTAAGCTTTTTTTGCGACAGTTCAAATGTACTTCCCAAATCTTTGCACCACGCCCAGTACTTTTGCCTTTGATGACAGTGAACTCCAATACTACTGTATTAACCTGCGTACAGTAAAGGCTAGCCTATCAAACAACACCACTGTTTCATGCTATTCAGAGTAGAGGAAACGACGTTTTAGAGTTGATTTACTGTATTATACAGATTACAGTATTTAAATATTGTTACTGTTTACCAAAAATACCCCAACAATGTCATAACGGCTGAGAATACACGTATATCTTTACAGGGTTATGGCCCTTAAAAAAAGAAGATATTTATAAACATCCATTAACTGCTGTTGAAGATCTGCAAGACACATATCAGCATACCGCATGTCAGCAAACTTGGGTCTACTTAATGCTCCCATAATAATTAATTGCATTATTAAGAAAGCTAATTGTTTTAATTATAAATTAAATGTATATTTAAGACATGTGGTACAGGTGAATTAGGTAGGCTAAATTGTTCGTAGTGTATGAGTGTGTGTGTGTGTGTGTGTGTGTGTGTGTGTGTGTGTGTGTGTGTGTGTGTGTGTGTGTGTGTGTGTGTGTGTGTGTGTGTGTGAATGTGTGTGGATGTTTCCCAGAGATGGGTTGCAGCTTGAAGGGCATCATCTGCATAAAAACTTGCTGGATAAGTTGGCGGTTCATTCTGCTGTGGCGACCCTGGATTAATAAAGGGACTAAGCCGACAAGAAAATGAATGAATAAATGAATATTATTATTAATACCTTATTGTAAGTATTTGCAATAAATACACCAGCAAAGATCAGGTTCATTTTCACACATCTCAAAGTTCACTTTTCATTATAGAAACTTGAACATGTAAGACAGTGTGTAAAAATATTTGAAAAATAAAATGAAATAAAAAATAATATGCTACTACTCCACTAAAAATATTTCTCGATCATGCTTTATTTTGATGGCCCATTTGATGAATTTAAGTTACATTGCATCTAAATGCCAACTAATTCTCATTAGATTATAAGTCCACTGTTAGGTTAGGGTTAGTGATAGGGTAAGTTGACGTATTTGCAAAGTTTCTTATAGTCAGTTAAATGTCTGTTGAAGGAGCAGTATCCACAGATATTGAGCAGACGGTCTACTAATACTCAAAAGGCCCATCAAAATAAAGTGTTAGCTATATCTCTGTCAAAAATAGAAAAATGTGCCAATTTTAATTTACGATTCTCTATAAGAAAACAAATCAAGTATACTTTTTATTACATTTCTTGAAAAGTATGGAAAAAAGTAGACTCAAAATATATGTTCCTATTTGAAAAGAAAACTAACACTTGAATAAAACACAACAGACATGAAGATACATTTTTAGGTAAACACTTTTATTTTCGGTAGCAAAAACAGCACCTAAGAAAACAGGATACACAATGGGCAACTTCTCGTTTGCCAAAAGTACAATGAAATGATCTCTAATAAACAGGCCAACCGCATGGATCTACCACTAACATGCTAGCAATTTAGCACAAATGCAATCATATCCCTTCATTTGCTTAGCATGTTGAGCATTTCAGCTAAATGGCTAGCTGCAGTTAGTGGCACATCGAGGATTGTCCAGCCTACAGACGTGTTGTGCCATGTTGTGCAAGGTAAGACATGAAGACAGTTGTGCGGTGCGGTGGCCTGAAGACGTGTGTTTTTAGTGATGTGGATTAAGGCACGACAAGAGCGGTGAGATTATTTGGTCCCTCTGGAATTCTTTGGTCAGTGTGAGTGGCTTTCAACCTGCTTTATGGCTGCTTTTCTGTCTAGAGCTTTGGGCCGCAGCCATAATGGTTGAGAGGGAAGGTCATGAAGAGGCGTGACGTTTAGTGGACACAACTGGGGGAAGGACTTGCTCAATCTTGGACTACTTCAGAGGACTCGGACACAACTCTGCCATCCTTGGTCTCGATCATCTTGATCACGACGCTCTTCTTGGTCTGAGAGACGGTGTCGCTGTAGCCGCTGCCTGAGCTGTAGCCACCGCTGTATCCGCCGCTGTATCCGCCACCATATCCTCCAGATAAACCGCTGGAGTAACCGCTAGAGTAGGTGCTGTAGCTGCTGCCGGCACTTTCCATAGGATATCCACCATAGCTCGCTATCGGGACAGAAAGATGTAAGATGTAGATTCTGTAGAGGACAGTTCATTGCATTGAATTATTATGTGAAGGAAGAGTCTTGAAAGGAGTCAAACTTACTGCTCTGTTTTGAGATATTGATGGCCTTGATTCCAGTTGCCAGTCTGTTAAAAAAAGAGTGGGAAAAGCAATGACTATCTTGTACAGAAATCTCAAATTATGAAGCAATTATAATTCTGATTGGTTGAGCTATGTTTGAAGCTGTGGTAAAATACAAACATAAACCTGTGACTGTTGCCTGGTACTGAGCCAAGGAAACTACATTTGCTTTAAATTTATTTTAATGAAATTACCATTGTGTAAAAGCAATAAGCCCTGAAGACATGATTTACAGTAAATGTATAGAACTCTGTGTCATGTACAACAACTCCCCTTAGCTGTTATAAATTAGCTGTGAGCCACAGCTACTTGAGGATTATTGATTCTATACAGCAGGTGTGCATTTGTTGAACCCACCTGTCCTCTTCTCCTTCCAGGAGCTTCCTGTAGGTGGCGATCTCGATGTCTAGGGCTAATTTTACATTCATCAGGTCCTGATATTCTCTAATCTGGCGTGCCATGTCCTGCTTGGCTCTCTGGAGGGCATCCTCCAGGTCCTTAATGCGGCCCTTGGCATCTCTTACTGCCATCTCGCCACGTTCCTCTGCCTCTGCGATCTGGTTCTCCAAGTTGGCTCGCTATTGAAATGAAAAATAACGATAAAAAATAAAGATCAGTTTCACTCCTTGCATAATACTGAAAAGAATATTTGACATCTTGCAGTTTGTGTAGTTGCGTACCTGTCCTTTTACTGCATCGATTTCCGACTGCAGTCTCTGGATCATGCGGTTAAGGTCAGCGATTTCTGTCTTTGTTGATCTAAGGTCATCACCGTATTTGTTTGCAGATGTCTGCATCTCCTCATACTGAAGAACAAAAAAAGAGTACATCTTATGAACTTCAATGGTAATAGTTGAGAACAGCTAAAATAAGAATTGACTTGAAAGGTAGCTTACCTTAGACTTGTACCACATCTCAGCCTCAGCCCGGCTTCGGTTAGCGATGTCTTCATACTGAGCGCGGACTTCAGCAACGATGGCGTCCATGTCGAGATTCCTGCTGTTGTCCATCTCCACCACGACTGAGGTGTCCTTGATCTGAGACTGCAGCTCACGGATCTCCTATAAATCCATAACGAGAGAAAGCAACGTTATTAAAATGGGATTTGTCTCTCATCAGTGAACCATATATTTGGTGGGATTCTCCAGTGATAATTTACCTCCTCAAAGATCTGCCTGAGGAAGTTGATCTCATCAGTGAGACTTTCCAGTTTGGCCTCCAGCTCAACCTTATTCATGTAGGCCTCATCAACATCCTACAAAAAGCAATTTAAGATTTAAGCAAGGGATTTTGGGTTTAATAAACACAGTTTGCTTTGTATAAGAGGCAGTTATACAAACCTTCTTGATGAGCACAAACTCGTTCTCACATTCTGTGCGCTTGTTGATTTCATCCTCATATCTGAAGAGAGATGAAGAAACAGAAAGGTTAGATGTTATAGTGGTCTACTAAATGAGTTTTGTACACTAGAGGGCAGCAGTGCTACACATTTGTCACAAAAAGTGCTGAACTATTTCTGGATCGACTTTTTGTCTCTCATGGGCCTCATTATCAGATTTGTCTAGAGATCCATGAAAGGTGCTGCGTTGATGTTTGTTCAGTTGGTGTAAATCTATCTGACTCATGCTGACGCCCATTTAATTGCAGCACAAAGTTGTTTTTCAATGGTATATTATGTTATTCAGTGAAATGCCTATGATATGATTCAAATCTGAAAAAGGCTGGACAATGGGCAAGTATAGGGAGTGACTATGGTTGTGTATCAGTTGCGTAAAACCCTGTTGGATTATGAATTATGTGTATTCCCATCAGACTTTAAAACAAGTTTTCCCTTGCCTTTCCTCTTTTATTCTACGAAGTACACCACTAAAGCCTTCTTTGACCAGGTTTTAACCAATATGAGACTTTTACGCACTTGTTTTTGAAGTCCTCAACGAGACCTTGCATGTTGTGCAGGTCAGCCTCCAGCTTCATTTTGTCATTGCCGAGGCTGTCGAGCTGTCTGCGCAGGTTGGCGATGTAGGCCTCGAACATGGCATCGATGTTGGAGCGTGTGGCTGTCTGGTTCTGGAGCAGGCTCCATTTTGTCTCCAGCATCTTATTCTGCTGTTCCAGGAAACGTACCTACATTGGCAGAATGAGAATAAAGGTTTTGTCTCAATCCAGGCACAAATGAAAACCATACTTGGAAGTAAGTGCAACTTCAGAAAGTAACCCCACCCCCAGACCGATGCTGCAGAGGCAATTTAGAATCAGGGTTCTAGAAGTGCAACCATATGCCAACATATTGCTTGTGTGGTTAAGTGATCTTCACAAAGGAAAGCACTGTTTTCCTTAAATAACAAGGGATGCATGTGTTTTCAGTTTGTAATGCCCCCCCCTTCTGGAAATGGTGACGCATATTCCAGTAGGACATTAGTATGGATAACTATATCTCTTTTTATAGACTGAAATGAGACTATCAAAGAAGTTTTGATCCACTCAGTTAATATTTAAGTGATAGCAGGAAGATACCAGCTCTGATCTCCTGTAGTCCTTTAAAGGAGTGTGTAAACGACAGGCGGAGAGCAAATAATACCATGATAAGACTTTAACAGCTCGAGGTGAACATTGAACACACAACTAGGTTACAGTAAAAGTGTCACTGAGCCAGCTGACTTTACTGATCATCTGTCATATTCAAAACAGATGGAGCGTTAATCAAATAATGCAAGGCAAAGGAGACTATTATAATTAAGAGGAAGGACATAAATACTTAAGAGCTAAATGTGTGACAGAATATTTCCTCTTCTTGTTGCCTTGCTGTTACGTAATCTATCTAGTACTATCCAGCACATGACCCTGGTTCTTCAAATTAAATATTAACTACAAAAGAATGTGACATTTAGTTGATTGTACATTTTGTTTGGATTCTGGAAATGTAATTCATGGCTTGTAATGATAAGATGTATAAAACAGGTTTCAGGTCCTGCAGGGCGTCCTTTTTTGGGTGTGGACTCTTCAGAAGGGTTTCAGAAGCGCCTCAAGGCATCTCATTTAAATGAAAAGCCATCACACTCTGACCATGCACACACCCTTTTCTACTCGCCCTTACTTTCTCAAGTGTTTAAACCCAATATATAGTTTCTGTTCCACTCTAGACTAACTTTTACAGACTTTTTAAGCAAGAACGCAGTCAGTTTTTCCACTTTTCTGCTCCAAAAAACTCCAAAAAAAGAAATGTCAAACCTACCTTGTCAATGAAGGAAGCGAAGCGGTTGTTGAGGGTCTTGATTTGCTCTTTCTCCTGGGTGCGGACAATTTGGATGTTGGGGTCGATCTCCAGATTCAGAGGTGCCAGGAGGCTCTTGTTGACGGTGACTGCTTGAATTGGTGCCACGACTCCTGCACCCATTCCGGTACCCATGCCCATGCCAAGACCGTAGGCTGAAGAGCTAGAGATGAAGCCACTACCACCTCCCATTCCAGCTCCCATGCCACGATTGACACCTCCATAGGAGCTGCGTGCACTGTAGCTCTGCCGGCTCATGCTGGGGCCGGAATAAGACAAACTGCTGAAGTTGCGTGGGATAGATCCAGAGGAAGAAGACTTGACGGTGTAGCTGGTTTTCTTGCTGTAGGTGGACATCCTGCCTTGTGTGTTTTCTGTCTTGTAGAGAATGACCTGGAGCAAAGGGGGAGCGAGAGCAGCAGATATGAGCCTTGTCTGCTGTGCTGGAGAAACTCGAGCAGATAGAGAGAACGGCTGACTCTGTCTTGCTCTTTATGCGCTGGACACGGAGTGGGTGGAGCCAAAGGAGGGGTCTGATTGGTCGGTGTTTAGGTGTAGAAGGTGGGTGTGGCTGAAATTCAATCCAACATTGTCCTGCATTCCTAGTCTAACCAGTACATGGATCTTTTTTGTAATTCAATATGACCAGAAACAGACATTTTCTGGGATAATTAAGTGCTTGAAAAACTAGTGACCCTCCCTCAGTTTGTTCAAGTTAATATACCTTGTTTTATTTTGTACAAAATGAATCACACTTTCAATAAAAGCCAAAATACCAACATTTTAAAACGTTGTATGTCAGTAAAATTAAACATTAGTATTGAAATCCTTCAATGCAAGGCCAGGATCTACAAGGCAATGAATGTTCACACTGAACTAGCATGCATCTATTGATTTGCCTATTCAAATAAGACATCTGGAGGGCTTTGAATTTCACTCTAAACCTTTGACAGCTCAAATATTTTAACTCTCAGCACTTGAAGCTGTACAAAGAGGAACATGTGGCTTCCAGTTATGCTTTATCATTACCTACAGCAGCCAACTAGCTTTAGATATGAGGCATTCTCTACTATAAATATTACACTATAACACCCAACACTTAACTTTATTAAATGAAATGAGTGTAGTTAACTCAAAATTTACTGAAAGTTAATTCTACTCATTTGAAAAAGGTTTTTAACTAAGTGTTGAAGGTAATTAGTTAATTAAATACCTAATTACTTTAACTTAAATGGAGTAAGTTTTCAGTACACAGTTTTTATTTTTACTCAAATGGTTTGTAGCAATTGGTTTCCTCAAACGGTTTGGGTACTCTTCATTTATTAAGCTTTAGTGTGCTAAAATGTATTTGTTTACTCAAATGGATTAAGTTCACGGCACTCATTAGGATTAGTTTTTGAACTTAAATGGTTTGTTGCAATCGGTTTTCTCAAATGGTTTGAGTTACCTTAACTTTTTGGGCTTTACAGTGTATGATTACAGCATAAACACATGGATATTTAAGCGGAATATGATAGTATGTAATATTTAACTTGACAAGCAGGAACAGTCCTACCTGAAACTGGACCACCAATAGTTTCTCAGCCTCAGTAAAGCAATACTTGACAGGTTTTAAAACCCAGCCCTAAGGACCTGAAGCCCCTTGAATTCCAAAGGCCTCATAAAGTTAGCCAGGTTTATGTTCGTGCTGTGTTAATGGTTAAATAACCAGAGGTTTGCTTTTTAAAACATGGTTTAAAATGATGAGGCTCTTATTAGGCTTGAGTTTTGGCAAGTGCTGTGATATTTTATGATACAGGGGAGGCTGGATGATAAGGTTAGATCAGGGGCGCCCAAACTTTTTCTTACAAAGGGCCAAAAATCAATCTTGATTGAGGCTAGTGGGCCGAAGGTAAATATAGTTGCCATGGGTGATTTCCTAATTTATTTAATAATATTTAAAAATGACTACAAAACATTGCTTTGTATTAAATAATACAGTATATAGTATTTTACATTTTATAATAAAGTTATTACAGTAAAAACAAAACCAATCTCATTTACAACTGAATTACGCTAGTTTTGCCTTGATTTGCTCGCTAATGTCTTCTGTTTAGTTCTCTCTTTATCGAGTTACAAATTAGATTCATTTACAATATTTATTTGAAACATTTCATTTTAGTTTGCTTTTTGTAGCTCAGCAATAAAACAAAGAAACAAAAGAATGTTATGTTAAATTAGAAATGACAATTTCTGTGTTAAAGGCATTTGCGCTCATCATTCTCATTCTCTTCTCAGATGGATGGTGGGCCAAATCAAAGGTTACAATGGGCCAACTTTGGCACATGGGGTCGTATTTTGGGCATATCTGGGTTAGATGTTCTTCAGATTCAGTTATGCTACTTTATTTGTCTGTTTGAAGATTTGCAATCTTTTAGTGCTTTGGACTTAAACAGTATAAAGTAATGGGCATTTACAGGCTTCCGCCCACCAATGAACTGAATTCTACAAGTACTGAAGTATCTGTCTAAACAAACTAGACCTGCCTTGACCTGTTCCTCCAGCGCAGTCTATTTTCACTGACCACTTATTTCATCACCAGGTGTTTCTATGGTTGGGTCATCAGGTGTGGCCTGAGCTTTTACATTTCAAAGGCGTCATTAGTGAAGACAAAAATGTTAAGTAAAATCACTTGAGTTTCTACTGAACAGGAATTACTCACACGTGTCAAACGTGACAAAAAATCTCGCCACCTTAAGCAATGTGTGATGACTTTTTATTACTGCATAATACTTCAAGCTAGAACATCTACAACAAGTGTCTGATTTAATCAGCTGTATCTTAAGATCATCTTTGCTTTCATCATCTTCATTGGTTTTCAGTCATGGAGTCATGATATCTTTAGGCGCTGGCCTTTCCTAAGATTACAGAATCCCGGCTATTGTTTTTGAGAGGAACCAGGGAAAACTTGATCAGGCTCACTTTTTCCATGCAGATATAATACGCTGCTGTATTTGCATACATGCCTGATAGTAATTGTGCCTACATTGAATCTAAACAATTAGACTGCCAAAATGCTTTTCTTACTTAGGATTTTTGTCTTTTTATAGTCCAAATATCTAAAAAAAAAAAATTCTAAATCAGCATATTAGCATATTATTTCTTAAAAAAGAGCATATGTTTGGCTTGTCTAGAAAATGTGTGTAAGAAAAGCATTTTGTTTTTGCTGTGCAATTATAAGACCTTTATTTATTGTTTGAAATAATATTAGGCTAAATAATGTGCCAACGAGGTAAGCAAAATAATCTTGATTTTTTTTTTCTTTTTTGCTTACCCCATTTGCAGATTATTTTGCTCGTTTTAAGGAATGACTTACTTAAGTTTGGCATATTATTTCTTAAAACAAGACCATATGTTTGTCTAGAAAATGTAAGAAAAGCAATTGTTTTTTGCAGTGTAATAATAAGACCTTTATGTATTATGTTTAAAATAGCTTTTTGAAAATAAGAATCAATTAATTCATGCAAAACAAGGCAAAATAATGATCATAAATACTGTATATGCAATATATTTAAATAAAAGTAATCTAGAAGAAACAAAATTAATATATAAGTAATAACTGAGCCATTTTGGTGTCAGCATCAAATTAAATGCACTACAGTAATTACATACATATAGAAAGCGTATTGAAGTTGCAAGTACAGACTTTTCATGTTTTAAATAACGTGTAATCACAGAGCGACACGGTGGTGCAGTAGGTAGTGCTGCCGCCTCACAGCAAGAAGGTTGCCGGTCCGAGCTTTCTGTGTGGAGTTTACATGTTCTCCCCGCATTCGCGTGGGTTTCCTCCCGGTGCTTCGGTTTCGCCCACAGTCCAAAGACATGCAATACAGGTGAATTGGGTAGGCTAAATTGTCTGGAAGGGCATCCGCTGCGTAATAAAATAAGCTGAATAAGTTGGCAGTTCATTCCACTGTGGTGACCCCAGATAATAAAGGGACTAAGCCAAAAAGAAAATGAATGAGCGAATGAATTAGACTGCAAAAACGCTTTTCTTACTTAGGATTTTTGTCTTTTTATAGTCCAAATATCTAAAAAATCCTTAATCAAGAAGCATTTTCTAGACAAGCCAAACATACTGTCTTGTTTTAAGAAATAATTTGTAAAAAATAAGCGAGTCTTTGCTAAAACAAGCTAAATAATCTGCCACCCAGGTGAGCAAAATAATCTAGTTTTTTTTTTTCTTATTTGCTTAATCCATTAGCAGATTACTTTGCTTGTTTAAGGAATGACTTAAGTTTAGCATATCATTTCTTAAAACAAGAGCATATCTTTAGGTTGCCTAGAAAAACGTAGTAAGAAAAGCATTTATTTTATTTTTTTTGCTGTGCAATAATAAGATCTTTATTTATTGTTTAACATAATATTAAGCTAAATAATCTGCTAACAAGGTAAGCAAAATAATCTTGATTTTTTTCTTTTTTGCTTACCCCATTGGCAGATTGTTTTTGCTCATTTTAAGGAATGACTTACTTAAGTTTGGCATATTATTTCTTAAAACAAAACCATATGTTTGGCTTGTCTAGAAAATATAAGAAAAGCAATTGTTTTTTGCAGTGTAATAATAAGACCTTTATGTATTATGTTTAAAATAGCTTTTTGAAAATAAGAATCAATTAATTCATGCAAAACAAGGCAAAATAATGATCATAAATACTGTAGATATTTAATTAAAAGTAATCTAGAAGAAACAATATTAATATATGGGTAATAACTGAGCCATTTTGGTGTCCGCATCAACTTAAATGCACTACAGTGATTTTATACATATAGAAAGCATATTGAAGTTGCAAGTACAGACTTTTCATGTTTTGAATAACATGTAATCACGTGCAATCACGTTTAATTAGCATTTAATGTAAGAGGTAAATGCATGTAAAAATGAAAAACATACCTATTCTGACATGTAATAAGTGATCATAAGTGAATGGTCAGAGTAAAATGACCATTAAGAAGTATTTTGGGGAGCACTGTGATCTTATAATAGTCTTTAAATATGTCATCAAGTGATTCTTGCTCTAAAAATGTCTGAAGAGATCAATTTGGTATATAAACTACTTTGCATTACACTGAATGACATTTCAGTGAGCGTCCTTTGTAAATTACAATAAAAATGTACTATAGTCATTTTGAGCAGGCAAAAATAACAACAAAAGACATTACAGTGTCCAATTATTAACTAAAATACTTTTTTAATGAAAACCATTCTCTTTTTGCCATGTTTCATATAACTTAACACACTTCTGTTTCTCAAGCAAAGCTTGCTTCAAGGGTGTATTAGATTAGTTGTTTATAAGAATTTGTACCAGCTTTCTAAAATGCCTCATTTAATGTTCTCAACCATGACAGCCCCGAAGGAGGCATTCATGTTTGCTTTCCACTGAAACTGAGA